AGAAGAAGATTTTTGAAATTTCAGTCAATTCGACCCTTTTTGGCCCCACCCATCAGCCCCGGGGGTCAGTCAGGGCTGATATGTGCATACTATCAAACTGCTACCTAATACTGATAATGCTAACCTAAATTGAATTACTTCCAATGGAAATTAAACAAATGTTGGTCCAAAATGTGATTTCCCAATATAAACTATAGTAAAGTTTACCCCCTCCCCAGTGGAAAACGTGAGACCCCAGGGTCAAGAAAATCACATTTTTTGTAAAGCACCTCAAGACCCTTCCATCTATGAAGAGTATTTGATTCTACCATATCTGGGTCTTCAGAAGAAGATTTTTGAAATTTTAGTCAATTTGACCCTTTTTGGCCCCGCCCCTCAGGCCCCTGGGGGCTTGGGACTAAACCGGCAACTATTTTTTGGTTGACCTTTGTCCATGGAAGGTTCCTGCAAAATTTCATTGAAATTGGTTCAGCGGTTTTGGAGAAGAAGTCGAAAATGTAAATTGTTTACGGACGCACGATGGATGACGACGGACAAAAGGCGATCGCAATAGGTCACTTGAGACTTTGTCTCAGGTGACATAAAAAGCTTGTACAACACCATATTCATATGAACTAAATTAAATTTAACTAGAATTGTCACCAAAATAATAGACCAATACCCTGTCTGTAGCAAGAACTGCAGGAATACCAGTAAAGGGAAACTTTCATCCTGAACCGATAAAATCCATATTTGCAAAGCATTAATTTTGCCGATCACATGTTAGAACTAAAAATAGTATGCTGTCTTTTAATGATGATGTTAGGATAAATTCTTATTCATTGGTATTGATATAGAACTGTAGAGCAGTTGTCACTTTCAACGAAGGGAGATAACTCTATAGAGTAATACTTACTTCACATCCTTCTTGTCATTGTGTATCAAGTTTAAATGCAATACTTTAGAATCAGTAGTAAAAACAATGATATTAAATAAAGGGACTTTCTCTCCATTAATGCATGAAAAAAACATAATTCATATGCTTTATCCCACCCCCAGCCCCTCCATGTAAGGGTTATTTGTACCAAATATCGCTCCCATTTTAAGATTTATATTCCCTTCATGCAAGGGTTCTGTGAACCAAGCATAACTTAACTCAATATTTTAGTAGGAGAAATGTCAACAATGAAGAGTAAAGAATATGTAACTTCTATGGGAAGTCATCAATTACAGGAAAAACCTGGGTAAACTCTATTTAATGGCCTTGTTTGGATAATTCACTTGTTTGTAGTTCCCGTTTCAAAAAATGGAAATCCCTTTGGGGTCGACAATTTTCAAGTCAGCGTCAATATTGATTTTCTATATTTTCACCATTAGACTCCGACGCCCAACACCAAAACCTGAGGCTATGATTGGGCTACTGTTAACCTGCATCCGAGTTTTCTGTTTCAAAGTCAAATGAAACCCACCTGTTGCCACCAGTGGCCCTAAGCTTAATGTGGAGAGCATTGATTCCAAGAGTCTTGCACCTCTCAGCAACATCCTGTGCTGCCAACATAGCAGCGTATGGTGAAGCCTCATCTCTGTCAGCTTTGACCTTCATTCCTCCTGTCACACGGGCAATGGTTTCTCTGTAACATACACATCACATTGAAAATCAGAGGAAAAAATTATAGACAAGGACAGTAAAACCTCACATGAATTCCCTCCCTAGCTTCAGTTATCACCTTCTTAACCATAAAATTATTTCCCCCTTTCTTATTTTTTTCTTCATAATTCCTTTATATAACTTTTTGAAGGAAAATGGTAACTGTATATTTGTATGCCCAATATTGGTAATGACACCTGTAAAATCTTACCTTTGACCTTAAACTTGCCAAAATCTGGACAAAGTGTTATTGCAAAACTTGTTAAAGAGGTATACTTTACCTTGACAACAATAACAACTGTCAGTCAACACTTGAAAAAAGACTAATCATTGAAAACCATTTTTCATCCAGAATAACTGGATGTTATTAAGCAAATTTGTTTCTTTCCCATTATCAATGTTAGCATTAAATTTGAACCTAGAAATCAGGAGAAAATGAGAAATGCTCCATTTTTTTTCTGATTGGCAAGGGGCCTAATGGTCACTTAGAGCCTCGACAATTTTGAATTAACTTGGCTCAAGGGTGTTCCATACCCATTTAAGTCAAAATACCTTCAACATTTCTGGACTAGTACTTAATCTGAGGTGAGTTCATATCTGAGAAGGACATTGTAAATGCCATTATATTTGTAGAGGCTTTGATAAACTATTTAAAACAATTCATCAAATGTGAAAAACAAGCATAATTGAAGCTATATTAGTTAATTTGACATGGACATTTGCAATTTGAATGCCCTTGCACATTGCCCTATAAACCCCTTTCCTTCCTAACCATTGTTATATATGCATTCCATAGATTTGATTTGTTTCTCTTACTTTCCAGACAAATCTGTGACATGTACAAATGTGTCGTTGAAACTGGCAAAGATATGTGCCACACCGAACACATTTTCACCCTCCTTGACCTGTGGTCCAAGCACCACTTGCTCCTCCTTTTGCACCTTCCCCTTTCGTGGAGCCATTCTACAATTTAAAACAAAAGATCCTGTTTTAGTTATCATCTTGCTCCTTCCTCCAGCCTATTATATTTAACTGTAAAGATCTATATGCATGAATAAAGAGCGAGGAATCTAGGTGGTGTTATGTAGAAGACACTTTGCATCCAGGTTTTTTCTCTCTCTCCTTATTTTGGGATTAGGCCTTTTTGTCTCATTTTGAGAGGAGAAAATACAGAATGGGAAGGAATCTTTCAGGAGTATACTGCAGATTTTACAAATTAAGCATGAATATGAAATAAGTTTCCATTGGGAAAGGCAGTCATTATTGGTCCAAAAAGCCTTAAGAAAATTATAAAAATTGATTCTGTTTTTAACAAACAGTTCAAGGAAGCCGAGAAGCAGAAACCTTGCCTTTTATATTAAAAAAAAAAATCGAAAATGCTACAATGTTAAGGTACACCCTCTTAAATGAGAAGATATTCCACACAAGTACATCTACATGAAAAGTAATGTTGTCATTTAATTGGAACAGTCTCTCACATATAACAATCGACTCATTTAAGAAATCTGACTTCAAATTGCAACATGTTAAAATCTAAGTGTTATAATACGTAAATAATAGTATTGTAAACATTTTCACATGGAGGGTAGGGTCGGTTCGAACTCATTTTCTTTAATAAACAAGGGACAAATTAAAATAATATTCACATATTCGGATTAAATGAGTTTATATTTGTAAAATAAAATAAAAATACATTCTGATATATCAATGACAAAGTTGATGTGATACGATTTCATTTTCTGATTCCTATTTTCATTTCTAACCTCAAGTGAGCGAGATGTAAGAGACTTCCGGTGAGATTTCAACGTGAGATCCCGAGACTATTGACTACGAATTATCACGGAAACTCTCGACCACTCCCGAATAATTTGTTATTGTTGTGTAGACTGAACACGAAAAGGGGTGACTTGGCACCCTATTTTTCCACGTTTCAGTCTCAAATAGAGGCCAATGAGGTATTCATACAATAATGTAGGTGTTTGTGGGGGGTAAGCTGTATTATTTATACACAATATGATTACATCGATTGACTAGTCGGTGTCTTACTCCGAGCACTGGTCTCGGAGCAGTCGACACCAAGCAGAAGCCAGGGTTCAGTTTAGACCTGTGCTTGGGTGTCATTTCCCTGAGAAGTCCTGTCATCATGGATCTCATTTTTGACTGGGACAATGAGGGAGATAGGTATTCTTTCGAAGACAGTGACCGATTTGAGGAAGATTCATTGTGTTCGTGGATAAGCGAGCCAGAAAGTCTTTGTAACAATTGGAGAGGATGGAAAAGACAAAATGGAGGTCAAGCTTCGACAATTGTTAAAAACCAGGGTGAGTTGGCCGGAAATTGTAAAGAGATTATTCGCACAAAGGCCTTTGTTTTCTAAAACCCCAAGCTCTTATCAAATAGAATTCGGTCGTTATAAATGTTTTGCAGCCGACTAAACTATTTATGCCGTCTATCGGAGAATAACCTACAATTTGTAATTTGCATATATTTATTAGAATGTTCAATGCACGATGCATGCTCAATATTAATGGACACGGGTGCATTGTCCTTGACCAAAACTATATGCCCCCTCATATTCATCACATTATTTACTTTGATACTACGCCGGGTAGTACATACTATAAGATCTTTGCTTTAACGTACCATTGTCTACAGGAGAACTAAAATAGAGATTCTGAGGAATGCATTTGACACCTATTTAAAATAGGCAGCAGTTAATCAATTAAAAGATTTGAAAGGATTATAAATAAACTTATTTCACATGTACCTCTGAACCTTTTGAAAATGATTATTATGATAATATGATTTTTGGAAATAAGATTTTCAGCATAGAAACCACCAATATTAAAAGTTTTTTTGCTGTGGAATTCACTGAATCGAAATCACTTATTTAGGATGTCTGTAATAAAGTTTTAGCATTATAAGCTTTTAATATCCAGGTTTTTGCCTGCAAATGAATCGCCATTCAATTATAAAGTTGGAATGCTCATAATTTTTTAGCAGCATAGATTGCGAATGATTCATAATCTATGCTAAAAACCGATAAGCATTCCATTGTTGTAATTTGGAAATTTAAATATCTGACAACTGTGTCAAAATGGAACCAATTGAGCACAACAACCGTTTCTGGTAATGATCCTAGTTGTGGCACCCTTAAGAAGCAAGTACAAGCAACCACATTATTTAAAACTGTTGAAATTCCATGATATATTGAAACGAAAAACCAACAATTGAAAAACTTTGGTTTTTGAGTTCTACAAGCAATCTTTTGCTGAACTAGTTTCATGTGTTGGGAATGGCCATCATATGTTTCGATGCCAATGTTTAAAGAAAGACAACTAGAAAGCACTTAAAAGAAGTTCTTCACAAACAAATCATGGTTTACTTCTTAATGGTACTGACCAACTTCAACAATTTGAAGATTAAAAGTTAAGTGGTTTATTATTGCACCAAATGAACACTGAGGTATGTAAAAGAGGGAACACCTCCTCGCACATTTTTTTTTCACCTCTATGCCTGAAGGAACATTTTATATTATCAGTGAACACTATTTCATTTGGCGGGGTCTTCGCAGGGTCTGTTACCAAAAAAAAACTGATAAACTCCTGACATTTATTTGAATACAATTGAATACATGTCTAACAAAGGTGATGCCTTTTCCCATTATTTTTTTGAATTCAACCACATCCCATGGAGTGAGATCCATTGTACTGTATGGAGTAAAAAATTCTAATTTCATTCATGTGATTGCTTTGATCAGGAAAGGCATTATAAGTTGTTATGAATAATGTAATTTTGTGTTGCATGTGATCTTCTGTTTACTAAATACTTCTATAAAGATTTTGCCTGACTTTTACAATTTGTGTAAACATATTGTACAAACAATTTTGTTATAGTTTTTATGACAGATACTGATACTTATCCATTAATTATTCCCATTTAAACTTGAAAGAAACTAATCTGATTGGAAAGGATAATCACAGAAAGGGTAGAAAGTTGGACAGATTCACAAGTTAAAGTATCTCCACAAAGAAAGTAGAACAACGATGACTCATTGTGAGGTATCCCCAGGTTGGTGTAGCTCATCATCTGCCATCATTCTCTCTCCTGTATATATGTATACATAGCCCCAAGCTAGCAAATTTTTCATGTACATAGATGATATCATTTTTTTCTTTGCTGATTGAAGAAAATCTGTTGGTTATCACTAATCATGAGAATTGACATGTGCCTTTGTTCAATTTGTATGTATGGTATGTTTTGTACAAGATTGTTTATATGGAATACGTGTCTCATGAACTGCTGTATGTAATGCAGTCAACCATGCATGTAGTTTTGGGGTTGTTTGGGACACTGACCTTTCCGCCCCATTTCATATGACTTGTAATTGTACATATATGTGTGTGTATGGCCAGATTGTAAACCTCTGGACTTCAAAGAAAAGAACAAGATAATGTAGCACTGAAGAAATCCCCATCATTGGTTAAAGGTTAAGAGATCAGTCTCAATGTGAAGGAAACAATTTCCCTAGAACTTTGATCTCAAGAAAGGTTTGTCAGATTCAATTATTTATATAAATACCAATAATGAAAATATGTCCTTTTGTAAAATCCCAAAATAAGTATTCTATGACCAGCTCATTAGATATCAGAAATACACAATTGTTCTGATATAGTTTGGTATGTTCAAAAGGAAAAAGGTACCACATTGTTCACTCTAATAATTCATTATATATTGAAAATCAGGTGATGGAAAAATATTTGACATCATTTTGAAATAATTTTCATGAATATTGATGTTAAATTTAGTACTGAAATGAATTAAGCATGGATTGGAATATATTAACAAAAACAGGTGGTGAAATACATAAGTTGTGTATATTTATACGTACAGTACATGTGGTTTGCTGGGGGCAAAAAATCTTTCTCCAGTACAAATTACTGGTAATGATGTTTCTAACATTTCAAAATTTCAAACATGCCTTTATATATATAAGTGCATATTGGTTTCATAATCTGTTATCTTAACTATATAGTTAAGACATGGTAGTGATCTTAATTAAATTAACTCACATGATCATATTTACATTACATTATGTGTTAATTATATTATAAGACAAGGCAGTTTGCAATTGAAGGTTGTACAATTCCACCAGACTGACATGAAGGTCTTGTACATTATATCAAAGTGCTTGTGAAAATGGATTATTTAACACGTGTGCCTTGAGATATAAGTCAGGCTATGACACAATTGAGTATACCTTCAATACTATTGCACCATTACACACAAATAAATATATTGCATGATATGTGCTACAGGCCAGATGTTTGATGCTCTAACATTCCATGTTGGCTGCGGATGTATATAGCAGATGACACATTCCCCTGCATAAAGTGACTGTAAATTAACATATTAACATATTTTTATCCATCATTATATACATGTATAGGTAACCGAAGAGAACTTTTCATTTTGATTTTGATATATATATAGAAATGTATGTGTAAGACACCATAATAGTACTATGTATATATTGAAGTAAAAAAATGAAGTGAAAATGGGTCTTCTTTTCGTTAGCAGATTGTTAAGGTTAGAATTGAATTATGTGTTGCAGCATTAACCTTCCTTCCAGCACTAACACAAAACAGGGGTTTCATTACGGTACAGTATCAAACTGTATTCCGCTGACAGGTTTTTATCAAGCTTGTGACTGTATAATGGTGTAATCAATAACTATTTTATTGTATATTCATGGATATATATACACGTCAGGAAGTGTGTTTGTGTGTCAAAGATTGTGTTGTGGTTTAGTGATAAGACGTTAGTACATGTACCTATGGATAGACTGTTATCATCACATCCCAGTTATTATGTTCATGTTTAATTACAGGGTTGTAACTTAAGGCCCTTTAAAAAAGGAAGCTGCAATATACAGTATCTATCCTACACCCAAGCATGAAAATGATAAACGTTACTGAAAGGTACATATTTTATGTATAATTTCTGACCCCTTGATCATAACCTTAATTCTTGTTCTCTGTATATGGTTTACTTGGAACAAATTCACAAAATATATAAATGCTGACTTTTGGTTAAGCTTAAGGTAACTCATTAAATTTGCATACACCAACACATTCAACACATACAGATTTTAAATAATAATAATTACCGAGTCAATATTTTAACAATAACAGATCATTCCCACCCACCATTTAAATTAACAATAAGCTACATCTTTTCACCATTTGTACAAATTCAGAATCTGATGGACCAGTTAAGTCGCTGGTGGAGTTGGGGGCTATGGCCGTGGCATGCAATATACCGTTTGAGGAGGTGGAGATGTTTCCCCAGCCTATCCCAGAACAGCTTCAACTCAGGATAGCCTTTTGGAGTTTCCCAGAGAATGAAGAGGATATACGGTATAACTAAATAGCGGTCTTTATAAAGTTTTTACCTTTATATCTCAGTCTACAGTTAGTTTCATGAGTTTATCTTTTCTCAGAATGTCAATATAATAGCAACTTAGCAAGTCAGACTTTTATGTGAATACAGTGTAGTGTATATGGAAAAAGAATATTATATCACATATATCAATATATATAACTAACTAAAATTTACTTTAATTTCAGTACATTATAGCCCAGTTTTACAATTAGTTAAAGTATAAGATGAAACCAAATCAGTATACAATTGTATATTGTGATTTCAGAGAGCAGCATACAAAAATCGCTGTGATGCTTTCTCTGACCACTGCCCTCAGTCATTTAAAAGTTTGTCGGGAGCATACCTCATATATTTTTTCATGTGAAGTAACCAGATTTGGTATGCATGTACTTTCTTGATTGCTGGAGTGCAGAGTATGACAAAAAGGTCACTGACTCAAATTAGACTATTGACCTTGCTGTTAGGGGGGGGGTGGAGATCTGGAGCGTATCTTCTGTACTATTTCACCAGGATTAACCAAATTTAGCATCTTGGTACATCTAATGTTGGTAGGATGCATTGTACGAAAAGTATATCACTGTTATATGTAACAGTGATATACAGCAAGCCAAAGAGGTCAACGGTCAAAGCATATATACATATATATATGCTTTGGACGTTGACCTCTTTGGCTTGTTATCCATATGTGAATGGGTTTTTTTTTCAGGCTGTACTCTTGTCTAGCTAATGGAAGTGCAGATGAGTTCCAGAAAGGAGAACACCTTTACAAATTCAAGGCAGTCAAAGAGGCTTTACAGATCGGTGAGAATTCAGCAACACATCATTTCTCGTAAACTCTTCATGGATGAAAATTTCTGGAGGGGATTTATCAAATTTTGAATTTATTTTCTCCAGGACCAGTCACATATTCCACCATTGGGAGATACGTTCATCGTGATTTAGATAAGGCAATAAAAAATGGGAAATATTTTGTTTATTTTCAGTGAAAAAAACATTGAAACTTGATTGGAAATATTATTTTGAAATGCCAGCGTAATGGTTTGAACATAAAGACTTCTTCTCAATCCATCCTATTAAGAGGTTAGGACCAAAGTTGGTATATCAGTTTAGATTTTAATATGTTATTCTGAACCAAAAATGCTACAATTAAACAGTCTTTATGGACCATAACATCTGATGATACCTTATCCAAGTTGTACCTTCAGGTCTCAAACCACAACCACCAACCCCACCACCTTACACCTAGGGCTATAGAATTGTTTTTCTGTTTCAGGTTTCCATCTCAGTGCAACTGTTATTCCACCACAGGGTATAGCACAGGCTAAGGGTAACTTCAATGTTGCTGTTGTGTTTGACAGACGTCGCATATCATCCTGCACCTGTACTTGTAACAGCATGGCATCCTGGTGTTCCCACGTAGTGGCACTCTGTCTTTATAGAATTCATCAGGTACAGAGCCAAATTACATTTACTTGAGTTTGATGTTTATATCGTAACGAAGAACTTTGATTGAGATTTATATAACCTCCCTCCAATGAAGTTGAAGGGGTTATATAGCAATCACTGTATTCGTCCGCGCTATCACTTGTTGTTTAGATTATAATATTTGTTTGGTAAAACTCATTGGATACATGCATGTGTTTAATGATGTGATAGTGTAATGTCATTCACCGCATACATGCCTGTACCAACAATGTTCAGGTCACATCAAAGGGTCAAAGCTAAACAAAATCTGTCTTTACAAATCTTTTAAATAGTTGAACATGTGAAAATATATAGATTAGTATATGATTCATATGTAGATTTGAAGGTATGTTGCATACAACACACAGATCTATGTAAACAAGATAACCCAGGTCAAGATTACGTGAAATTTCTTTATAGAAGCACAGTGTGTAACAAATCATGTTACTCTCAAGTTCAAAAGTTCATTTAATATGGATATTGCTTTTTAGTATGTACAATGTATTAAATCAGTATCCAAAAGTGAAGGAGAGGAGCCAATACCAGATGTTATAAGTCAGTGGTGCTTAATGAAGTTAAAAAGGATTAAAAAAGGCCAATTAGATTCATCCTAATTTTCTTTTAATTTGTGTAGGGGTAAGAGAAAGTTTGTGGGAGGTCTGCTTAAAAGTTCTAGTGGTTAGATGATATTAATTTTTACATGCTTGCGTTTATGTAGCATTCATTGTAACACTTATTATTATGGTGCAATCTGTCCATGTGTCAGTTTTTGCTGTGTACTTAGCCAGTGTCATGATTGGGCCATAACATAGTTCACAGCCTTCTTTTCTATATACAGCTATGAATCAAGGGTGTGTTGAATTGATACAATATGTTATCAAAGGTCACGGTCATGTAACACAGACTACAGGCATGTTATGAATCCATTTGATAGTGCTTGATTTTAAGGTTTTACTTTCTTTTGTAGTGCAATGCTGTTTGTCTTAGGGCCCCTGTATCAGAATCTTTGTCCAGACTGCACAGAGACCAGTTGCAGAAATTTGCTCAATATCTCATCAGTGAATTGCCACAACAGGTATATCTTCCTTTAAAAAGAATGCTGAAAACTTAGTGTAAATGTGAAAAGATAAGAAACCTGTTAGCACATTTACAATAGTGCTAATTAGTAGTGTTATCAGCTGTTATAAAAGCATAAACAAACTTGTGTTATGCAAGGATTTGACATAGATGTGCATTCAACATAGTTGCATAATGTAGCCATGTTAAATTACCTAAATCCTCATGCTTCAACAAGATTTCAGAATCTTATCAACCTTTAAATTTACAAAAAATATGTTTGAATCAATTTGGTAAAGCATTTAAATTTTCTTGGCTAACAAAACACAAGTGTTGGAATATATGTCACACACCATATTGAGCTCAAGCTACTTGTTTGCATTTGATGAGGCCTCAGAGGTGGATGATTTACAATGCATCCCTTCATGAAGTGATTAGTAACTAATTTTAAAGGGAAATCATAATGGTTACCAAGGTAATGTAGTAAGATTTTCCTCACGTCTACAATAAATATTTAACATGAAATTATCACATAGACTTAAGTTGATTTGAAACTAATATTAGTAAAGCTGATGTATGTGTATTACTTTTAGATTTTACCAACTGCCCAGAGACTACTGGATGAGCTGTTGTCGTCTCAGGAAACTGCTATCAACACTGTCTGTGGTGCTCCAGGTAAAACTGAATTATGTGTCATGCTACATCAAAAGAATAAGTGAAGCCTTTGTATATGGAACTACTTTTAAAATAACTAAAAGAATAAAACAAGATGTTGAACTGTTTCTATGTGTATTCATGTAGTGTTTATTGACATACTTAAGGTGTTGTGTTTTCCAGATCCTACTGCAGGACCATCTGCCAATGAACAGACTTCTTGGTGTCTGGATGAGAACACTCTACATGAAAATATCAAGAAAACACTTGTTAAGTTCTGTGTCCCATCTCCTATAGTTTTCAGGTTTGTAATTCCTGCTGTTTTCACTCTAATAAAGCTATATACCATAACTGGTATGAAGAATACATAATTAATCTTTCTGAAATATGTTTTATTTGCATAAATTTTGGAGAAATTTTCTGTTTAAACTAAACCTTCTAAAACCAGTCACCCACTTAATTTATTCAGTAATTGATGCCATCATCATTTGTATCCTATTGCAGTGATGTGAACTACCTGTCAGCCACTGCTCCACCTGCAGCAGCTGAGTGGCAGAGTTTACTGAGACCACTGAGGGGAAGAGAACCAGAGGGCATGTGGAATTTGCTCTCTATTGTCCGAGAAATGTTCAGAAGGAATGATAGTAATGCCATTCCTCTGCTGGAAATAATCACTGATGAAGTTCTACAATGTGAACAGGTAAAAGAATTTGGATGTTTCTGCTATTTCAGATAATCACGTTCTTATTTTACTAGTTTTTATAGGCCTTTCAATTGTATTATAGTATACCCTGGTTGATGGCCACAATGGTTTCTGGTGGTCTGATTTTGTTCATGCTTGATGGTAACTTTTGTTTGATTACATATGTTTATAATGCTCTATTACCAATATTCTGAAAACCAAAATGACTGCTGTGGCTTCTGCTGACAGGTCAATATTCTCATCAATAGATACTGGTGAAACTGAAATATTTTATACAAACATAGCTCAAAGAACTTCACATCTTTGGTTGTAGATTCTGATCTGGTGGTTCACCACCAAGACAACAACCAACAATAACAACATGTGTCGGGGAAATGGAAGTGGAGGAGCCAATATAACACAACACGCTGCAGCAAGCTTGTGTGAGGAAATAGTGACACTTTGGAGACTAGCCGCCCTCAATCCCAAACTATCTCCTGTACAACGGAATGATCTCAGTGTTAAGTTCAAGGAGTGGCATCTGTCTACTGTGGAGAAAGTGAGGAAGGCTAGAGGTGTCAGTATAAATAACACAGGCAACGGTCTCAAGAAAAACGAAATCGAAAACTTTGTTGGATTCAAGCCTGGTATAGAGGCATGCAATCTAGCATGGGATGACTATCCAATTCCAGGTGTTACCTACTCAGAAAAGGATGGTTCCTGTTTCAAATACAGGTTCAACAAGACTCATGACAGTGATAAGAAACCATCTAGGATTCAGCCAGTCACAGTATGTTCAGAAAGTATTATTAGCACAGACAATACAACTACACTTGCTCAAGCACAAAACATGTTACAGGAGCAACATCAAAATGCTCAGGACTTAGCAAACTACAACAGTAGACGACATGGTCATTCTAGTCCCAGAGGTTCCAACACAAACGATGGTGCCATAAGTTCAGGTTCAGAAGGTTTCTGTGAGCCTGAAAGAAGTAGTTCTATATATAGAGATTCTGACTCTGGGTCAGAAATGAAAGAAGTGAATTCCAGAAGTAATTCTATTGACGATCAAGAGGGTTTTTCCAGTCATGCTTCCCTCGCAAATGGTTTTGGCATTGGAAATAGACCAGAAGGTGCCTCTAATTTTTCCGTATTTTCTACAGACAAGTCTGGAGATGTGTTCCATGCTTGTGACAATGCTCAGGACAATGCTGCAGCATTTGTTATGGCTGCCTCAGATGCCCAAGCTTCTGGATCTGTGAGGGCTGAACACTCTTCAGAGTCTCAGCAGTCGGGGGATGAATATCAAGTGTACTTTTGTGCGAAAAACAAAACAGCTGATGCTGACAAACAAAAGAAAGAAAAAACAGATGAGCCTAACTTCTTCGCTGGGGTGAAGAATATGGATCAAATGCAAGATGTAAGATTTCCACTTAAAAATTGTTAAGAAATGTGATTTTTCAGAGTAATTTTTCTACATTTAGGAGCAAAGGTGTAAAAATTTGGGTTGATTTAAAATTCAGCATGGCAGCTAGGCATCCAACTTTTAAAATGTTGAGGAAGTGCAATACAGTAAAACCTGTCTATAGCAACCCTCAGACAATTGGTCGCCATAAACAGGTGGTATCTAGTAGTTAATATTATAGTCCAGTCACAGATTACAGTTGTTGTTAACCTTTTTTGACACATGAAATAAATCCCTCCTGTCCTGCATGAATCTTAAAAAATGAGTATTAAATACTACTCCATGGTTACAACTTTGTCTAGTTCATGATGCTTTGCTGATGCAAAATGTTTTCATAACTAACTTAATGCCATTCTAAATGGTTCATTACCACATTTGTGAGATGCTTGTGTGTTTTTTTCTGGCATGAAGTAAGATCATGATCACTGAAAGATTGTTATTCATAGCTTTACAAAATCAACCAAAAGGTTTGTCAATCTATTTGGTCAAATTATTCTTTGATTTTGTGTTCTGTTCTATAGTCAGGAAATTGAAACTTTAGCTATTAACCAGGGAATTTTTTCATAAATATGATGGCAAAAAGTTGTTTATTGGAAATCATTGAGATATGATAATTATCTCAAAAACATTTAATGCCTGACTGGCCTCAGTAGGATAACAGGTGGCCAGCTGTAAGCCAAGGGCAATCAGGGTCCTTCTCCACTGGCAATGCTGTTGAATGGTCACTAAGAAAACAACATGTCAACTTTTTGTAATGTAGTCAGCCAATGGAACAAAATGTTGTCACATTTTTGCAGGAAGACTGGTCCCCATATCACTTGTCACTGCTTGCATTGTACAGTTGATTTCTGTATCTAACCACCTCCTTATGGTTCTTCCTAGATCCTGTTTGCAAGAGCAGAAGCCCTACATGCCCATGGTCACACAAAGGAAGCTTGTCGTTTGGCCCAGAGACTTGCTGAGGAAATGCTGGCAAATCCCTGTGATCTCCTTGCAGAAACAGCCAATCTCCCAAGCGTTAAAGGTTTGTACTGTCCATAGATGATATTGGAACATATTTGCAAAGAATATGAAGAATATGAAGAATTTGAATATAGATATTTTGCTTTGTAATGAAAAATTACTTGATTATTTGCTGTTTAGGTACAGCAGAATGTATTATGGGAAGGCATAGATGTTGTTTAGACGATGTATGGCTTAAGACATAAAAATGACAAATGACAAATTACCTGCTTTGAAATAGCAATCAAATGTTTTTCTTGTGGATAACTTGATACTTAATGAAACCTGAGGTGGTGAAAGTATCAGTCGGTGACTGAATTGAAAGTAATTGATTACTTGCCAACAAATGTCACAATGATATAAAAGAGATCTGTGCAAATACTTCCACATGTGGTCCACTGTATGCTTTTAAACAATCTTGTTATCACTTTTTCTCAACTCCAGAAAAATGAAAGTATTTTTGTTATATTGCACAAAGTGGGTTCCCTATAAGTCCAGAGTTGTACATGGATTAATTTAGAGACTTTTTTGTTTATACACATTGTTGATGTTGATTTTCAAATTTCGCTGTAGGTTTTCCCTTGAAATACATATTGTTACACCAATGCTTTTGTTTGTAGGTAAGAAGAAAAAGGCCCTGACCAACATCAGTCTGATGGCCAGTTCAACTCTGTCCAAGGCTGCCTTCCTGTCAAGTGTGCTGGCCGAGGAGCATGAATGTTTCCACCTAGCCTTCAAAGTGGGGATGTTTGGGCTGGAACTCCCTAGGCCACCAGCCTCCTGTAAAGCACTAGAGGTGTGTTAGACTGTATAGGAGCTGGCACTGTTCATTTCACATGTCCAGGTTTCTTAAATCAGCTTTTGCTATTACTACAATAAACTTGTCAGAGTGACACATTATGGTGTCATGCTGTTCAATAGTTTGTTAAAATGTCGACACATATACTTTGTATATTCTGTAAAAATCTGACAGGACATATATTTGATAGAGAAAATTTTAGATAAAGAAATATGAGCAAAGAGGCCAATCCCTATACACTTGATATTATTAGAGGTGAGTCACTGTGTCAAAGGTCGAAGTTGTTCAATGAAAATCTGATTGGCTCATTGTTTCTGCTTTAGAGCTCCAAAATGTATTGCCGCATATTCACCAAACTTAGAGAACAGTTTGTTAGAATTAGACTAATTTTTGCTCATAGGACAAGGTTATTAAAGATGAAGTCTTCAGTCAGATTGGCTGATAGTTTTCTCTTTAGTACTTGGTATATTTTTTTTAAGTTTTTGACAACATATATGTTAAAGAACTGCTAGAAATCCATGTAATCAGTCAATTTTTGTTTACTTTTTCATCTCATCAGATTTTCTGATGAATTAGTTGTATTCTTACTGCATAAAAGTGAGCAAGGGCAGTATGTGATAATGCATTTTGATATCAGGTATTTTTTCACAGATACTTTATATTGAATATGTCCATTACTGTAGGTTAAATTAGCATATCAAGAAACAGAGTTGTTGAACCTGTTGAAGAAGATAGCCCTTGGTCCAGCAGAAGTGAACGTTCTGAGAGACAAAGCAGAACAGCTGAGAGACAGAACCATCAAGTCCCGAGGAGATGCCCTCTTGCCTCTTACTTTGGCCAGCTTCATATTTGATTCCCTCTGTCTGCCTTGTAAGTAAATTCTAAAAATAAATAACTTAAAAAAAAAAAAAATGGAAAATATATTCAAATTAAGAGAAAAGAAAATTGTTTGGAATCTGCAATCAAAAAGCAACTGATCTTTGTTTCCCTAGGTATATACGAAATATTATTAAAAATAATGATATTAAAAGAGCATTAAGTATTTTGCACTGTGTAATATTTTCCTTGGGTCAGTGAATAAAGACACTTTGATGAGTATATTACCTGCTATTGTCAATTGTGTGTGTGTTTCAGTATTCCCTGTGGGTAGCACCAACAGCAGGCCTCCCAGTAGGTCAGTACAGAACGGTATAGCCAGGTCACCTGGAGATGAGAAACTTGGGTTTGAAGGAGCAGTCGCAGCACTGGGTAAGATTATACCATCAAACAATAATTATCCTGGCCTTACATTTAATGTTGAGTTAAAATTCATTCCTAATGATATTTAGACATTCTTCTTTTCAGTTTGATAAAGAAAAATCTAAATATTCTGTTATATTCGTATATCAGTTATCTTTTCTTGTCATGTTTTATAACTCATAGCAAATTTATTTTAGGTATGAAAGCCAATGTCTCTGAGGCAGATCACCCACTTCTGTGTGAGAGTACCAGAAGGCAAAGAGGTGAACTAGCCATCACAATGTTAGTCCACTACAAGGATGACCAAGTCAAGCTTAGCAAGGTAAAGTAATTCAGTTATTATTTACTTTAGTTATTTTCAGTAATTGGTTTGATTTATTCATATAATTCTTTTGTTTGTAGCCTAATTTTAGAACAAATGATCACTCAAAGCTCAGACTTGTATGTGGTATGTGGGTTGCCTAAGTAGAAAGGAAAGGGAGGAAAAAATATTTTCGTTTTGGATGGTGTTTGTCAAGGGTCTGGATGGTGATGCTGCCCCAAGTGGCTCTTTCAAATAGTCAATTATGAAGTATAAAAGCTGGATTTTTCTAAAGCTTTCCCTTATCAGTTTTCATAGAACATGTAATAAAATGAAGAAAAACATACCAACATTCCTCATTTTTAGGGGGGGGGGGGAGATTACCAGTGACACAGGGAATTCATTTTTCTTCAGCGAGTAGTAACCAAATTATCTGTTTAATGTTAGTGGAGATTCATTCTTTTTCATGTCTTTTGCATGTTAACACGATTGTGTTACTGTTGAATATATCAAGAGCCTGGATAACATTTTATCGATGGTCTGTTGTCCATTTTTGATCAATACTTGTTTCTCAAGAAGTAGGGGACAGATGTTTCTCGGATTTCTTATATAGGTTCCCCCTGGTCCTTAAGTGTGCATGTATCAGTTTAAGACTGATAGGGAGAAGAATATGAATGCTAGTCATCCATCTTAGATTTTTTCGGTTAAAGATTATTATTGCTATTTCTATGACAGATCTTTCTCAAATTTTGTCTGTAGGCTACCTTGGTCCTTTATTGTTCATGTGTTTTATTTTGTGATTACTCCAAAAAACAAGATGGCCATCAGACAGACATCTTGAATTAGAAGAAAATTACAAATCTTTCTCTGATTTCATAAGCATATTCTTTTTATTCCTTAGTTTTGTGTATTTAGTTTTGAGCTTCAAGCTGCTTGATCAGAATAGAAATGGTTTTTTTTTTTTACACCTTACTCTTCTGCTATAAAAGGGAAGCAATAACCTCACTTTGAAAGAATGATGTCAAACAAAGCAATTTAAAGTTTTCATAAAAAGTTTCTTTTACTACTGTTGACATGACTATAATCCACCAGATAAAAGAAAAAGTAGAGAAAAGCAATCAAACTTACATAGAACTTATGATTTTTTTTATGATTGTGAGAGACAAGACCCATCAGAAATCTAATGCTTTATTTATTGCTGACGTTGTACCCACTTTACAGTGTAATATAAGACATTTCACACATTTCTCTATGAAATGTTTCTTTTTAGATCATGGATAAACTGCTGGATAAGGAAGTTCATCAGTTGTACAAGGCTCCAAGTCTGGTGAACTACTTGGGCAGTAAGTCTCCATCTGGTCAAGCAGCTACATCCATCCAAGCAGTGAATACCACCCCCTCCAGCAGCCAGTCTGTACCCCAGGCCTCCACATCACAGGCTGCTGGTTCTTCTGTCAGTCACGTACCCGAGGGAAGCAGTCACGCAGCTGCAGCAAGGACAGTTTCCAGCACCATTGTGACCCCTGCAGCAGGTGCTAGACCAAAACTCACATACCCTCTGAGGTATAATAGGTAAGATTCAACCCATTCTTACTCTCTATATTTGTATCCCTATGTAATCTCATAAAAAATAGTGTGCTCATTTTGTATCTCTATGTAATCTCATAAAAAATAGTGTGCTCATTCAAAATGCAACAGTATATTATTAATGAACTTTTTATTGCAGTGGAAAGGATACAGACAGCTCTGCAGTAGAGGAAGAAGAAGAACTCAAAGCTCTGGAAGCCAAATTGCGATGTATGAGCATGAAGAAAAAACCTTCACAGGGTATAGTTTTACTTCATCCTTTTTGTGTCGGCTTCAAATTAAAGACAATATCACTATGTCTTCGTTTGCAAAACTTCCCATAAATATACCTATAGCATTAGTAATGGCTTAAGTTCAAAATTTTGTGGATAGAAAGAAAAATTGAGGTCCGCCTGCCATTTCAGATTAAGGACCCCAGTTTCGGGAACAAATAAACTTTGCCTTTCATGGCTTGACAATAAACATTGTAATGTTTATCAAAAAGTAAACTTCATGTTTACTAAATCTGGTCTTCAGTGAATTAAAAATGTGTAATTTCAATTGATTGGTATATCAAATGGCCACTATGCAGATATTTTATTTTGCAAATTTGTCTATTCCCTAGTTTTGCAAATTTTCTTTTTGAACTTCAAGCTTGGTCAGAAGAAAATATGGCCTTCAAAAATCAGAAATCTCTCCTTGTTCCTTGTTTGTTTAATATTAGTTTAGTTAAAGGGGCTGGTCGGAGAAAAAATGTCATATTTGCTAAAATGGCATACACATGTTTAATATACCTTCTTATGAAATATACCGATACAAATTTTGCTGAAATTCACTCCCTAAGAGTAAAAATTATAATTATATTAGAGAAATCCTAAATCGTCACCTGACAGTCTAAAACTCTCAATTGACCCAGATCAGTGATGTTATTTTACCGCACGTACGTCATCAACAAGGCCAAATGTAAACAATGCGGCGAAAGAAAAAGATGCATGCAAAAGTCATGACAGGCACGAGGAATCAATACCGTTATATATAACAACAACATATAGGAAGGAATACTACACTTGCATCATACATGACCTTTGAAAACAATTATTTACGTATAGTATTGCGATCTTGTCCGCTAGTTGAGTCCGACATGGCACATGACAGCGTGCTATTGTTGTTATCTTCACTGCCTCACTTTCGAAACAACCACGTGACATATACATAGATCTGCGCTACCCCGAGATTTCAGTGGTCAAAACTGGACATTGCAAGCAGAACTTGACCATCATATTGCCGTGGTATAACTTTTGGAAGGCCAGAGAACGCATTTAGACCCATTTATTTTGTAATTTTTTCCCCGACCAGCCCCCTTCATAGATAAAGATCAAACTACAACATCACTCTGAAAAGAGAGTGTTTAACACAGCAATATGATCTAATGTTACCTGCTGATAAATTCGTTTTTGACATGACTATTAATCCGTCACATTAGAGAAGTAATAGCACTAATGAAAGATGATCCCTTTTACATCTCTCGTTGAGTTCTGCACCTGATTATAAATACTGACAAGACAAGTATTAAAAGCTTTAAAGTATAGTGCAAAATTTCATAAATATGCAATTAATGAAATGACATTCTTATGAAGATCGTTTAAGACTTTAAGAAAGGATGACCCGTTACAAAGTCTTTTACATTGTTCATGTTAGGTATGGCCAGTATTGACAGCAGTGCACCAGAGACAACATCAAGTGACAACTCCCCTACTATGGTAAGGCGTACGTGGAAACACCAAGGGCCAGGCAGTGACTGTGGTAGTTCAGGAGACAGCAGTGATTCTATTGGTTCCAGTAGCTCGGGGGACAAGGATGCCAGAAACAAACTTAGAGAAAATGAAAGGTGAGAACATTTGATATGTGCACCCTGTTTCATAAGATTAAAAAGAGAAACAAATTTTTGAGGTGCAGTGTTAAACAGGAAAATGATTTAAGTTTCAAATTTTGTATCGTAGGGTTTTACAAAAACAAGATTGTGTAGCTGCGAATGTCAATGTTTTAATGACTTTTTGTTTCAGTCCTCCCAGTCCTTTGGGTGCCAGATTCATTCCATCCCAATTGATGGAATCTCGAATACTTACTCCAGGCATGTCCAATGTAAAAAATCCAAGGTGAGTACTCCCTCTCTTTACAACTCACAATATTCACACAACTAGCCCAAGAAAACCAGTAACCTGTTAATGTTAGACATACACCTTAACGTTTTGTTAGTTCATGTCGAGAACTGCCATCCACATTTCCATTTAAAAGTCCTATAATTTTTCATCATGCAATACAGTTCATTAAAGTGAGTACTACAGGCCTTTAAGTAAGGATTTAGCCAAAAACCACATCATATCTCACTTGAAAGCTACAATCAGCATATGGCCTGTTGTACAATATGTTGTCAGTAAATCTAATGCTTTGCTTTATTGTGAACGTCATAAAAATAAAATGTTATGTTCAGTCTCGTATTATTGAGATGAAACTATCTTTGTAGAACAGCTGGTATTCATTGATGAATTAAATAAAACATCCATGGTGGTTTTTTGCAGGTACAAAGGAAAGACTCGTATCATGCCAACAGTACCCAACCAGCCAAGTGAAGCCTCAGCCCACTTTATGTTTGAGCTATCAAAGACTGTGTTGACCAAAGCTGGTGGCACCAGTTCCACTTCCTTGTTTACACAGCCCAGCAGTACCAACACCCACACAGGCCCTCACAGAAACCTCCATCTCTGTGCCTTCCAGATTGGCCTGTATGCCTTGGGGCTCAACAACTGTGTTTCTCCTAACTGGCTGTCTCGAACCTACTCTTCCCATGTGTCCTGGATTACAGGTACACAAGAATTTAGTATAGATTTATCTGCAACAAATACAGCTCATGTGCAAAGATGTCATAATGTCAGCATTCTACACAGAATTTTAAGGCAGACAATTGAAATTATAAGCTGGTAAACATTTACCACTGGTCTCCATGAAGCCTTTATGTGTATTTGTAAAAAACAGTATTTACACAGAATTTGTTTTATACTAAATATCAGAAGGCAACTTAAGTCTCAAAATTAGTGTACTACCAGAGAAGCTGAGGCGTTTGCATTCTATGTATCAGTCTAACATTGTGTCATTGCGTCCAGGGTGTATCTCGTATGCTCTTTTCCATAAAATTGTTAAATTTTAGTGTCCGTACAACTTGGGATGGCCAAGTATTACATACTAAAGTCATGTCCTACCTCCCACATTAATAATCCTCTTATACAGACTTATGGCCCTTTTGTCACCATACACAATTTTGACTGTCGTGTACAGTTGAAATCTGGCCAGGTGGTAGATCCTAAACTATTTAAGACAACTTGATGTAACTTCATCACCCATAGAAAGGTTGCACTGCAATGTTATTAGGTCACTATGGCCTTCACGTCTAGGTCAAAGATCAAATGATTAAAGTAGAACATTTCTAGTAAATATTGTCTGGGATGAAATTTACTTGCATCACCGTCAGAGGGTGTGTAGTATACACTGTACTGATTTCAGTAGCATGGCTTTCACCTTTAAGTCAAGGTCAATTTAGTCAGAAACAAATTTATAAATTAATAAATTAACCCTAACCCTAACCCTAACCCTAACCCTTTGCTAATAAGAGCCAATCTGATCTGTCAAAATAACTTAATATGTTCCGTGTTAGTAGATTCCTTGTCAAATTTCTTAATAATGTGTTACATCAACCAGTCATCATACCAAGGTATCTGAACTAGTGGAAATTATGCTTTGATGCAATCCCAATATGCTGGAATTAAGCACATATATACAAGTCAGGAGACAATGACAGTTAATAAGTAAAAGAATTGAATGGGAATTTGTGATAATGAATGTGTATAAGCTTCACGTACTGTACATATAAAAATTGCAAGTATGAAAAAAACAAGCAAAAATGAAAATGTCGCGCATGTCCTGCATTTGATACATTTAGATACAGCTTTTTGATTCAAATATTGAAATTGATACACAGAATATTTAAAATGGAAACTTTTGGAGAAATTAAAGATAATTTTATTTTTTGGAAACTGATAGTGTTTTCTTTTGATTACCTTTTCTGTTTTCTCTGAAACTCGCTACAGCTCCTCTGTATAGAAAATTTGTGGGAATAATGAAATTTCATTGACTTCCTAGATGAAGCCCTATTTGTCCTGTAACTGTATTGTTTATTTTGTTGGTACTGTAGGACAAGCTATGGAGATAGGAAGTGCAGCTATCAACATGCTGATAGATACATGGGAAGGTCATCTCACACCAGCTGAAGTGGCATCTTTGGCTGATAGAGCTTCCAGAGGTCGTGACCCTAACATGATCCGGGCTGCCGCAGAACTTGCACTGTCCTGTCTGCCCAATGCACAGGCTCTAAACCCTTCTGAGGTGCAAAGGGCCCTGTTTCAGTGTAAGGAGCAGAGCCGGGAGATGTTGCAGAGGGCATGTCTGGCTGTGGAAAGTGCAGCCAAGGGAGGGGGTGTGTACCCTGAAGTTCTGTTTGATGTTGCCAGGCAGTGGTTTGAGCTGTCTGAGGAGGCTGCAAAGTCTAGTCATAATCATCAATCTGTAGAAACAACACACCATAGTCATACGACAACAGAATCCAATGACTCGTTTGTGCCAGCGGCAGTGGTGACTGCTGCCAGTGTGACTGGAGCTCCACTTCCCACTGACAGGAGGAGTCCATCCTCACTCTCAGTCATTCCATTCAGTTCTACTCCTCCACATTCATGTAATCAAGTCACTTTGACAAACACCCCACAGATGATGCCTCGTGCTGTCAATAGTCAGATTCCTACTCAGCCTGTTGTGCTATCGTATGCCATTCCTCAAGCTAACCCTCATCATCCTCAGCTACCTCATCACCACCAGGCATACGTTCAACATTATGGATATGTTCAGCAGATACAGCCATTTGGACATCAGTACACAACACATCAGCCGATCCCGATGCAGAATCATAACCTACATCACTTTGTTCCTGCATTTACATATCAAAATCAGCCTCACTTCAACAACATGCAAGGAATACCAACTCCTGCCAATATCTATCCTGCCAATGCAGCTCCACCATTCCGGGCCCTGACTCCTGCTGTACAAGTGTTTCCTAGTCATGCACAGTGTCATCCTCCAACTGTTCAGCAGATTCCCACTTCATCAGCAGGATCTGTGCAGCCTTCACATCCAATTGAAGTGGTGTCTGATGGTTCCTCTCAATCTCCTAGTCCGCCCCAGTCTGCTGCCATCCAGGGACAACATAATGGTCAACAGACAACCACCAATCAGGTCCAGTTAAACTACCTGATGGCTGCCTTCCGTGTCGGCATGTTAGCTCTTGAAACATTAGCAAGACGTGTGCATGATGATCGACCACAGGCGAAGTATGCCCGCAACCCACCATATGGAGAGGATGTCAAATGGCTCCTAAACATTGCTATCAAACTAGGTGAGTTCAAGCTATTTTTATACAATAAATAGCAATGCATACAATCTTCTTTCTATCTTATCTGTTAGTTGAAATGTGACTCTGTAAGTTGTCATGCTAACATGTCCAGTGTGATGGCACTTTTTTCCTGACAGTGAACTTAAGGCATTGCACCGCATCTGTTACCTGTCTATGGTCAACTTTTCTTTAAAAACACTACTATATTAATCAAGAATGACTGAAAGGATTATTGGCCACGGAGAATCACGGTTGTATAACCGCTCTTGGTTTTGTAATTGTTGTAAAGTTAAACAAATTACCTAAAAAAAAAAAAAAAAGTGACAAGGTGTGGCAAAGATGTTAACCAAATGCACAAAACCTGAATAATCAATTTATTTGAAAAAATTGAGATTATCAAATTTTTGATAAAAAGTCTTTAAGAATAACAAAAAATGAATATAAATATCATGAAACATAAGGGGTTTACAGCATTGTGGATTAGTATTTATACAAGTGATTGTTATGTTGTGTCTGTCTTGCAGGTACAAGTTATCTCCAACAGTTTTGTGCCAGTGCAGTCAATGCAGTAGTCAGTCCTTTTGTTTTGTATGACATCTACGTTGAAGGTGCTCACATTTTGGCCAGGAACAATCCGTCTATTCCGCAAGGTCATCTAAGGTCAAATAATATACTCAATCCCCTGGTCCAAAAATGTCTTCAAATGTAAGTATTGGAAACCTTGGATTATGTGTAAACATTATCTTGCATTTCTTTTATTTTTTTGAGAGGGGGGCAGGGGCAGAATGTCTATTTGTGTTCAACCTATAAAAAAAATAATGAAATTATCCTTACATGATGAGGGGTAGATTCAGGAACCATGGAGGGGTTAGCTCCACATAGGGTAAAGGGAAGAGGCCATCAGTGGTCTCAAAGAGAGCAAAACCCTTCAATGTTTTGATTTAATGGATTTTCACCAACATTTTATGAAATGGTTCTTAGATGATGAGGATCAGCTTGCTACGAAGCAACAACCCCCAAGATAAAAGAGGATGAGGTGGCGGGGCTCATAAGAGGTTCACTTAGTGCAAAACTTCAAACAACATCTTCAGTTAAAGAAAGTAATTGGTGGATTTAGACCAACATTTCATAAATCATCTTTAAATGAAGAGGGTGGGAATCTATGGTCATGCCATAAAGGGATCAATTAGAAAGTGTCATATCTTTTTTTTGTTTGGATTTAGACCAAAGTTTTAATGAATAATTCTTTATTCACTATTCTACAGTTGGGGTACAAAACACTAATGTGCACAATTCATAGTTTCACTCGTGTGACTGTTAAGACCAACTGAGCTCTTGTTTTGTATAAATTCCCTATTTATTACATGGTTAAGTTCTACTTCCTACCATTTATTATTATTATTTCGAGATTTAATTGAAAAATATTGATATATCATTGTTGATACCTTCAGGTTCATCCAGTGTGCTCACCAGCGTATACACCATATCAACCCTTCTGAGTATGATGACTTCATCAATACCATCTGCAGTGCCAGAAATGCCTTTTGTCTCACGCCAGGGGGAATGGTCCAATTTCAAGAGTTTTTACAAAGCCTACGCAGGACCAAGTCATGTCGAAAGGATCTCTGGGCTAGGATAGTCAATGGGCTGGCTACTGGCAACGTTTGATGTCAATTTTATATAGACCACTGACAATTACAATATCAAGATATCTATTTCTCTATGAAAAATAAAGCAAATTACTGTTGTGTAAGAAGATGTTTATATTTTTGTCGAAGAAGAATTCAAGACTTCCTTCAATGTAGGATTTTACAAGAATTTATCAGAAAACGATGTTATATTTTAATGAAACTTGAGTTATTACACACAATACAGAAGAGTTTAGCCTATTTGTTTGACTATTTTCATTGTGTTGGTATTCTATCTCACATCAGTGTCAAAGTAATTCATAGTCTATTCAGGTATCTTACTCGCAACATTATATATATATTTAATATTATGTTGATTATATGTTAAACTTGGTTATATACACATTTAGTTTTTACTTGTGTATTGTGGTTGATGATGTTGAATTTATACACTGTTCATTGATGTGTATCATTTTGTTTGTTACTATTATAAGAATATTGGTATGTTTTACTGTTTATTGATGCTGTCTTTGTACACGAGGAATACAGTTACTATATCAGTAGTCCACTGATGCCAAATCCAGAGTTGATTCAACTGTGTTAAATGTTGGGTTAGAAGTATAAAATGACGATAGTTGAGTTTGTTAGTATGAATCTTGTGTGGAATCCAAGGTAAATTTGCAGGTGTTTTTTAGTGTATATCTGTGCACAATAGGAGTTGTTTTGAGTAAACTATATTCATATTTCAAAAAGTGGAAACTGTTGCTGATGCAAAGTTTGTTGGAACTTACCTTACTTATCAGCATTGGATCAATATTTAATGTTTAGATAATGCCACATCTCCCAAGACAGATAATGAGGATAGCAGAACTGTATTGATCACATAAAAAAAAGGTTTTTAAAATTGTTTGATTTTCACAAGTACTCTTTTTTTTGTTGTTGGCTGAAAGCAGACTTTGGAAGATTTGTTATTGGACATCATAATAAAAAATATCTTTGACAACAGATATTTATAAGTACATGTACAGTACTGTATAAACGCTTTCACCTTATAAGCTGTACCATGTTGCATAGATGGAGGAAAAAGACAAAAAACACATCTAATTTAATCATTCTTTCAACTTCTCTTTAAACACCCCATATCAAATTCATATTGAAATTGCACAACATAATATTGAAGGGTTTGATGTGATTTATTGCACTTATTGAGTTACCTGGCATTGCAAATTATGTTTCTAGATTATCGGTACATAAACTGAACATTTTATAAGTATTACAGTCAAATATGGATGACAGTAAAATAAAGTGTTGGTAAAATGTTCATTTGTGTAGTTCCTTAATACCATTATTGTGAAAAAAATTGTTTGTCAAAAAAATCATTTGATACTGGTGTTAATAAGAGAAATTTAATTTTTAAAGCATAACTAATATTGTTTTCTGCTTAAATATGCAAGGGCATATTCAAAAAGCTAATGCTACATTTGTAAATTTAGAAAAGTTATAAAAAGAAAAAAGATTTAAAAAAAAAAGTTTTACAAAAGCTAATTACAATAGTTTGTTTGTTTACTGTATTATTTAACGACAAGTTTATGCTGAATTTATCAACAATTATAGTTTATATCATTGAAAAATAAAAAAGTTGAAAATAAGACATTTTATTTAAATGAAAAAGCCAGGTTTCTACAGCCAATTTCATGTGACTTTGAAAGCAATGTTCAGTTTAATTCTGGTAAATAATTTCTACAGCCTATTCCGTAGGACTGTTTTAAATAGTGGTCAGTTTCATTTACTAAGTTGCTGTAAATATATAGAAAAACTCTTTCATTTTGACTGTTGAAAGTAGCATTCACTTTAATTTTGCTTGTATGTATAAGTTTTAAATCACATTGCTCAGACAGCTCAAAGACCAGTCCTTCTGTTGATTTAGTGTATGACGGTAATGTGAAAGATTAGCATCATAAACAGTAAAATACTTGGTTGGATTCTGTATTGCATGCCTTTGTAAATATTTTCTGTAGTATTGTTTTATAATTAGAATATATTTATATTTATTCATTCATTTGTGATTTATTTAATTAACTTTGTTTTTCTTGTTGTATTTCTTTCTACAATGATAAAATGTCCATTTCTGCCAATTTGATTTTTTTCTATGATTTAAAAAAACAACTTTTCTTTACATATTAAATTCAATTGTCAGTCTTTTATGATTTTATTTAAAGAAGTCTTCATATATGGGGTATTTATTGTGATGAAATGATCATCGTTTAATTAATTATTCAATGAAATACACCCCAAAGTATTAAAATAGCTTATAGTAGTAGTAAGCATTACAATCATTAGAACACATCCAATGATAAAGCCCCTGGCCTTACAGAAGACGTGTTATCATCAGATTAACAGGATAGAATTCTTCTGTCACATATCAAGTGTTCTACTCATAGGCAAATGATTCTTGCGGATCGTACAGAGTGACTGTGAGAATTTGTTAATTTTACTGGTGCCATGGTGGATAAATTTTATAAAATGTTAACATTTTTTATATTTTATAGACTAGAATTGAACTCGGTCATTGCTGTAAAAACTGTCTCCCAAAATGTATGTCTGTTTTGGTGATGACAAGGAACAGAAATCATGTATGTTGGAATGAGTATTGACCTCAACAGGGACAAATATGGATTACTTAACATCAGAATATCACTGAAGACATTTTAGTGTAATGCACGTGTATATGACCACATAAACCAAGCATTTTCAGCAGTACATGCATCTATTTATATTTGTATATTTTTTTCAATGTTGATTATTATTCCAAAAGAAATAAAAAATAAAAAAAATAGCTTCTCACCTTCAAACTGTTGATCATGAACTATATGATAATGTTATCCTGTATTTAAAATATGATGTAGAAATGGTTATGTTTATGTAAATTTTTAATATTGACAAAAAATATAATACTCCCAGCATGAAATATGTAATATAACTTACATATACATGCAGATTGCATTATTGAAATTGTTGTTCTAGAAAATATCTAAATACTTTTGTACTGCATACATCTGAACACCTAGGGTAACATATTGTGAGTTTATCAACAAAAAACACAAAATTTTGGCTTCCAGACAAAACTGCTTAGTATTTCCAATTCTGACCTTGCTGATTTGGATGTATTAACCATTATAGTGTTTGATTTTTTTTTTAACTTTTTGTTTAATCCATTAAAAATAGATTGTATGTGTATGTGTTTAACTTCATAGTCCCATCTATGTGTGCTTGAAGCATATTTGGTAATGTTGAATGTTTTTTTTCCCTTTGGGTGAATATATAAGATAGATGTGCATTGTTTACATTGAATTAATTCTAGACAGAAAAAAAGTAGTATTTGTTAACACTGAACAAAGTGTAGACAGTGAACAACTGTACTGGTTAACACTGAACTTGGTGTTGACAGTAAACAACTGTACTGATAATATTGTACTGGTTAACACTAAACTAAGTATAGACAGTAAACAACTGTACTGGTTATCACTGAACTTAGTGTAGAAAGTAAAAAACTGTACTGGTTAACACTGAACTAAGTATAGACAGTAAACAACTGTACTGGTTAACACTGAACTTAGTGTAGACAGTTAACAACTGTACTGGTTAACACTGAACTTAGTGTAGACAGTAAACAACTGTACTGGTTAACACTGAACTAAGTATAGACAGTAAACAACTTTACTGTTTAACACTGAACTTAGTGTAGACAGTAAACAACTGTACTGGTTAACACTGAACTTAGTGTAGACAGTAAACAACTGTACTGGTTAACACTGAACGAAGTATAGACAGTAAACAACTGTACTGGTTAACACTGAACTTAGTATAGACAGTAAACAACTGTACTGATAAACAATTGTACTGGTTTACATTGAAGTCAGTCTACACAGTTAGCAGTACTTGTTAACTTTTAATTTAGTTAAGAGAGCTGGAAATATACTTAAGATACAGTGGTGACTTTGAAGAAGCGAACTGCCTCCGCTGACTAAAAAGTGAGGATGCTAGTATTCCCTCAGAATGTTCTTACATGGTACATATAGCAGGTTTTCAACTGACCAATTAGATACATTTTAGACATAAAAAAATATATTCTGATAGTAATTTCAAACGGAACATGCAATATTAGTTTGCGATTGGTTGAAAATGGAAACATGTTTGCATACTGGAAATGTCAATACCATTTGATAGTTTTATTTCGTTAATTATTGCTTGTGCCTTCATATCTTGATACATTACTAACACTTCATTTGTCATCACAACTGTATTTTCTTCAGAAAATCTAGATAAATTTGCTTTTTGTGCTCATTTTTTATACTTTGCTCATATTCTCACAGAAATTGTGACGAACAGCTGCCAGTTCTAAGTAGTTAATCGACAACACATATTATCAAACTCCAACATTATAAGTTTTATGTTTGTTGTATTTCCTAGTCACCCTGGTAAGCAATGATCTCTTGTTCGCTAATTATGGTAAATACCAGAGGCAATTCATTCATTTCAATTTAGTGATCAGTTATATTGTATATTACATATGATCAAAATTTGCATATATAGCTTTTAGTATTAATATAAAATTTCAAATTGATTGCTTAATTTGTGTTAAAACATGTCAAATTTGATTTTGATCTCATTTATCTATATAAGCAATGAAAAGGTAAAAAAAAAAGACTATGAAAAGATTGTTTTCGATTTAGAATAAAATGCTCTTGTGATTAATTCAACAACAGTCTGTTTTACACATTTAGTGGGATTGAGAAATTACCTGGAATGAGTGATTTCAGAATTGTTTTAGTATGTTGTAGCTGAAGATGATGAAGAATCTAAGTTTACATTTTAGGGGTACATTTTGATTAGAGGGGAAATCTTCCTTTGGGAAAACACTTTATTTTTGTTGACAATCCTGTTTGTGGTTTTTGCATCTGACCTTAAGAATATTCAATCATCAAGTAAAAACTCTGAAATTGTCATTTTTTTTTCTTTCATTTTAATGTCAATGTGTTCAGGGGAAGTCACAATCAATTTTTTGATACATAACTGTTAACTAACTTTTGTTTCTAAATTCTTAGCAAAAGTGTGGACATAGATCAACTTTATCTTTGTCAGTTCATGGGGAATATTTTGTACCACAACAAGCACATGTATTTATACACAATGTTAAAATATCTATTACATTGCATTTGGAATGAATTATTCAATCAATTTGATCTTCAGAAAGGCATGTCAGTGGTCTAAATGTCACTGGCATTGGCTATTTGTGACAAGTTTACCTGTTCCCAGGATTTTGCCACTGTCGTATGACTGGTATATTTCCCCTCCCCTATATTCAGTGGGCAGGACTTATGCCACTGTCGTATGACTGGTATAATTCCCCTCCCCTATATTCAGTGTGCAGGACTAATGCCACTGTCGTATGACTGGTATATTTCCCCTTCCCTATATTCAGTGTGCAGGACTTATGCCACTGTCGTATGACTGGGATATTTCCCCTCCCCTATATTAAGTGTGCATGACTTATGCAATGAAGCAGCAGTGTAGAAGTGTACCCCCCTTTGACAACAATCACTACATCAGAGCAACTGGTCACCACAGTACATAATGTTTTATATCATCCCAACATCCATGTCTGTAGCTATTATAGCATCCACTCATGTCATCCAAACAAACCGTAATAAAGTAATGTATTAGATACACTGGTGTTATGTTGTACATTCTGGAATGTGAACAGTTTGTGCTGGTTTTTAATCAGAAGTAATGGTGTACAGTTACCAAGACACCTCCATAAATAATGAAAAATTGGTTGGACCTGGTGACTTGTTTTACAATATGTTGTCAAGAGAAATAACCTGTACAATCCTGGTTAATTATATTTAATATCACATTCAAGTGATTTTCTGGTTTTAAGTCCTTCACAGCTAAAAAATATCAACAAGAAAGTCCAGCAGCGACCACCAACTTTAACAGTAGGAAGAAGTTTGTATAACTAATTGTTTACCCGGCTTTATGCAATGGTAATGCACTTGTAAAGGAAAGCTTTGGGAGCCCATCTGAAAGGATCCAAACAACACTGAAAGGCTAGTAGCTTCCATATCTAAGAGTCTGGCAAGTGTAGTATTAAATTAGGATGACAAGGAATGGACTTGTGTAAGTTTTAATCATTTGGGTCTTAAGATGTATGTAATCATCTGATTTTTCTAAAACTATTGCATGTCTTTGAATATCTAGGTGATTTCTTGTTAAAAAAACTGCAGGCGTTGCCAGCAGACTACTGACTAAACTGCGTGTCTCGAGGTCTTTCACTTTTTAAGAAGTTGAGCATTATTGATATTGTTGGGGTGAATTGTTAAAATTCAGGGATGTTCAAATACATGATAAACCCCAATATAATCCCTCAAAATTGAATGTTTGGGTTATCAAACATATCGTCAACATTAAGAGATACCATAGACTGCAGTGGTTTTGTTCGTGCTCAAACAACTAAAGCATTTTGAGAAGAAACTAACAAGATTTTGTAGAGAAACATCAAACCATTTTCTTACCCCGAATAAACATTGTTCAATTTCCTTACCCTCTGTCTTGTTGGTGTCATTCATCTTCCTTTCAATAGGCCTGTATCACTGTTGTGTTACAAAAAGGCAAATGCTATTATATAACATCATAATTTACTCAATAAAATATTATGGTATAAGGCATTATACCATCACATGCACTTGATGCGAGTAAAAATAAAATCTAGAAATAACTGCAGGAAAAAATGATAAATGACAGTGGTAATAATAATATATGCGGTTATAAGTCTGAAAAGCTGCCCATGATAACTGAAACAACAAGTTACCGTTTCAGGGGAAGTAACTCAAGTTCGTTTCACACAGTAAAATACTGTATACATGCGAAACCTTTGTTAGTCTTTTGGTAGCCAGAGATGCAACACATTTGATTCAGATGTAACTTTCCATATGTCACATTGATGTGAATGTGACAAACACTTGAACTGTTCAGACCTGTCCCAATTTTGAGATCATCTTAAAGTTAAAGTCTTACTTTAATTTAAATAATAGGGAAATTACACTTCTGACAATATTTTGTTCATTTTTCAGCAAGAAATAATTCAAACTGAATTGAAAATAATTTAATATGATTAAATTGAAATTAAGTAGTATCAAAAAGTACAAGATTCTAGCTTACTCAAGTAGTAAACCAATGAGGAAAATTGACTAAACGAAAATATTTTATTTCTCAAGGGTAAAATAATTTAATTAAACATACGTGCGGATTTCATCTTCACGTCTCAACAATGAAAATTACCCATAGCATAACTCTGGTGCAGTTCATCGCCATCTTTTCTGCCGAAGCATGCGCCATTGGTTTGGCCCTCGACCATATCGATGAATACCGCATTAAAAAGGCAATCTTATGTTCAGACTCTCTATCTTACAGATACGAGATCCAAAAAACACACTCATACAAAACCTTGCTCTTCGAATATCTCGTATCTGAAATAAGTCAAAAATAACTTACTATGGATTCCGAGCCATGTCGGAATTAAAGGCAACAAATGTGTTGACAGGGAAGCAAAAATAAATAATCAAAAAATCAAAAAAAATCACCATGACCCTTAATGACCACAGCAGTCGATGGGCCGTTAAACATAAACAAACAAACTGGTGACCGTTATGGACCGTGGTCCTCTTGTACTAATTTCTAGCCACTGATGCCACGCAATGAAAATACTACTTAGTTTGCTTTTTGATGTGATAAAGTTACCATTTGTGTCTAACTTGAATTATCAATTGTTTTAAATCCTAGTAAACAATCCCTTGAATGAGGTGAGGATCCGCGTGTGAAATGATGCGATGTCACGCTTTTGTATCTGTTGTTGGTCACCTGACCCAAAGAAGCACTGGCGCGCGAACATCTTGTCCAGTTCCTGCGAGAGCCAGTCCTGTAACTTGTCCAACCCTTCACCCGTTGTCGCTACTATCGGGAAGAGCTCGTATACATGGGAACAGTTATCCAAATCTAGCCCAGAACGAACCTCTTCTAATGTCACCCGTGTCCCTTCTCCCGTGATTCTTTGGTTGACGGCTACTGCCAAAATAGAATTGGAAAAACGTCTAGCCTCAAGGAATTGAAATACGACCTTAGCAAGTTCCATGTTGTTATCAGGCGGTCCTCGATCGTTCACAACGTAAATAAAGGCATCTATGTTACGATAGTATGTAAATATTCCACCGGCACAGCGAGAACCGAACATGTTCCATGCCACAGCCTGTACCCGCTCTCCAGACAGGGCTTCGATAGTCTCATAGTCGTCGGTGAACGTGTTGGTGATGTTTCCCAAGTTCAGGTTGTGTAGCAAAGATGTTTTGCCTGACCCATTCTGTCCAATTATTAACACTGTCACTTTTCTTGATGACGAAAGCTTCCCCATGGCTTTCCCCATTATTCTAAATTATCATTGATTTTACCAGTTCATGTATACATGATATAGGTATTGTGACCATTTCTCGCTCAGTATTATGATAATGAATGGTATGAACGTCATATCTATTTTTAGTTCCGGTTAAAATTTGTTTACACTTCAAGTTGTTGTCACGTTTGGAATGTCTGGCTGGAACACATACCAGAAATCAATCTCCCACAACCCCGTAGCCTAACAAACATGCGACATTTCGGCACTCCCATGAATGACAACTCTGCATGTGGCTTATTACCAGACATTACTAAGGAAGAAAATTAACTCTTGTTTGTGTATTTTGAGGTTATCTCCCTTTAGACGCTGCTAAAATGATGTCCGGCATTCCACAATACTTTTAAACATATTTAAGGAGGCTCCATTCTTTCGTAATGAACCAGCAGAATTCGTTAAAACTTTCACATAATAATTATGTAACTATATAGAGGTGAATTTATGAAAATCAAAGCATTCAGATAAACTGGGATTTTTTTTGAGGTTACCCAAAAAGTTTAACTTTAGTCAATTTTTACAATTTTCCATTTTTTTTGGTCTATGGCAACAAAAACAACAATAAAAATGAAAACAAGCATTGATTTTTAAGCCTACAAATATTCTATTTACCACAAAATTTATAAAACATGTTAAATAAAGTGGTGTGTTCTTTAATTGAAATTTTATCTCACTTCCTTGGGGGTGAGATAAGGGACTCTCAACCCGAGGGGGAAGATCATTAGGTTGCCAAACACGAGGCTTAGCCGATCTCGCTCAGTTACAGGTAATTGAGGTGGTTTTTTTCGCACCTTTTACTTTGAAAAGAATATTCAATTTCGCCATTGTCTACACGTATCCCGTCGGGGCCTCAAAATAAATACGGCCTCTTAACTTCTAAAGCTACGTTTGTATGCTTCGTCCTTACAAAGAAAACACCGTAATTCAAGATCATATTTTATCTACCATATCAGGAATCTAACAACATCAAAACAGGACAAAAAAAGAAGAATATAATGCAGATAGTCAATTTCGAGCTGATTTTTATGATATATGCCCTATGTGACGTCACACTTCGAATGATTGGACGTCTGGATCCCCGACTAGGTGGATTTACCACTGTATTCGTGTGATTGTTAATTGTGATATTGAACACACCGCCATGGATAACCGGCATTTTTTAATAGAATGTTCCGATTTTAAACACATTCGTGATAACTACTTCCGAGTCCCGGATATGAAAACACTTTTCAGTTCCGTGGATTCGAAGGCATTATTTAACTATTTGAAAGACATCGGTCTATTC